CTTTATAAAAACTAGTTTACTGATTGTACTGTTGTTGTTGTTTATGCTGTCAGGCAGGAATCAGTCTGATGAGGGGGCACCTACAACTGGCAGGATGCAGCAGAAAAGGAACATCCAGATCATCGAGTGGGAGGACCTCGACAAAAGGAAGTTCTACTCTTTCGGGGTGTTCATGACGATGACCATCCGGGCCACCGTCTACCCAGCCACACTCATTCGCACTCGGCTGCAGGTGCAGAGGGGCAAATCCCTCTACAGCGGCACCTTTGACGCCTTCTTCAAGATCCTGCGGTCGGAGGGTGTTCAAGGCCTTTATCGCGGCTTTCTGGTCAACACCTTCACTCTCATCTCAGGCCAGGCTTACATAACCACCTACGAGCTGGTGAGGAAGTATGTGTCCCAGTATACTGATGACAATACGGTCAAATCGCTGGTGGCGGGGGGCTCGGCCTCCCTGGTCGCTCAGAGCATCACTGTTCCTATAGATGTTGTCTCTCAGCAGCTGATGATGCAGGGCCAAGGGGAGCACCTCACACGCTTTCGACTCAATCTCAACACTGAGACTGGAAAGAAAAAAGTGTTTGGCCAAACCAGGACCATTATGACTCAGATTTTTGCTGCTGATGGTTTCCGGGGATTCTACAGGGGATATGTGGCTTCTTTGCTCACTTATATTCCAAACAGTGCTGTCTGGTGGCCTTTCTATCACTTTTATGCTGGTAAGTGGCTTAAGTTTTCTAAACTCTAAAATCTTATATAAGACCGTGAGCTTGTATTTTTCCTCTTGTCTTGTCTCTGTGTCCTGCTATGTTCCCAGTGCATTTGTAAATCTGTGGTAATGAATTTCACCAGTCATTGCTGTGTGGTTAATCTGGTATCTGTATGTGTAATGTTCTACAGAGCAACTCTCTAAAATGGCTCCCAGTGACTGCCCTCATCTGATTCTACAAGCCATGGCTGGACCTCTAGCTGCTGCCACCGCCTCAACTGTCACCAACCCAATGGATGTGGTCAGAGCCAGAGTACAGGTGACCATCATTTACCGTACAACCATCAGGAAGATTACAATACAACAGATTTTAAGTTTTTGCTGTTAGATATTTTTCAGTAGCTGCTACAATAAATAATTAGTCACCTTTGTGCACAAGCTACTGTATCACTCTTCTGTAATTTGCATATTTTGAGCTCAGGCTTTCCTGTCCAGTGCAAGAAAGCAAAAGTTGTGCTCTTGTGACAATTTCTGTATAAAAACAACAGTTCACAAGCCAAGTTATGCCTTGAAGAAGAGTCAAGCACCAAAATGCATACACATTGAGTGTAGGAAGATATTCATTGATATTCTTAGAAAAGTTATGCCCTGAAGATTTAACATGAAAACATTTCTGCCTCATTAATCTCAAATATTACATCGAAGTATATATTTATATAATTCGATCGTGAACTAAATTAACTGTTCACAAACTCAGCCTCCAATGTAATGTCTAACCGCTGCCGCTGCATATTCATTTCAAGATTAAGCCAAGCTTAGGATGCGTGACATGATCAAGCTTTCTCAAGCTTTGGGAAGATTCAGGATTTAATGAACTTTACCTTCAACTTCATTCAGTCACTTCAGCAGGTGGTATGTGGTGTTCCTGACACGTATTCATTGGACACAAAGTAGTAATCAAATCAAAGATAAACATTCCTTTTGGGTGATGTTCCCATTTACTGTAAAGATGAAAAAGATAAACTTACATTTACATGAGTTGACTTGCAGTTGATGGCTTTAGGTAAGAACCGTGTGCTCCCCACCACCTACTAAACTGAGACTGCTCTTACCTGATCTAATTCATACACCTGGTACTCATCTGTAATCAATACACACTAAGAAAAACAATACTTCCCCTAGTGGTTAAATCAGAAAGTACATATAAATGGCTCTTACGTAGACTAAAACAATATGTGTGATTCAAGACAGCTGTAATGTACGTTGCATGGCCAGATCCACACTTTGTTATAGCAGTATTCCACTGTAGAGAAAGGACAAGCTGAACCATTATTATTCTGGTATAGGAATACCAGATTTTTTAAATATTTCCTTAAACCAATCACACTGGTTTGTAATAATAAAATGTACTGTATGTTTTGTTTAGGTTGAAGGGAGGAATTCGGTCATAGAGACATTCAGGCAGCTGATCAAGGAGGAAGGCTGTTGGGGATTGACGAAAGGACTGTCGGCACGCATCATTTCATCCACACCCACCGCCATCGTCATGGTGGTTGGATACGAGACGCTAAAAAGACTGAGTTTGCGTCCGGAGCTGGTGGACTCGAGACACTGGTAGAGGCTACCTGGACAGACAACATATGGACTTATGTGCCATTTTAGCCCTCCTGAGAACACTGGATGAAAGAAATGCTTGTTTTAAAATAACAGCCTGGGGAACAAAATGTATCAGGCCACTTTAAACGGACAACAACTAGACCCAGGTTCACAGTTAGTTTGTGTCGCTGCTTAACAGGGTTGTTGCTTTTTAGTGCAATGGAAAGTGGTGATTGTGATGAAGTTTTAACACTGGAGGATGCAGACAAATTAATGCAACCATATTGGATTAATTGTCTACATTCGGTCAACAAACAAAAAGTTAATGTATCGATGCATGCTTTACAATCATGTTCAACCTTCTTTGCAGTGGAGAAAAGTGGAATTAATTGCTGACAGACCGGTATTATCTTTTTTAATTTGTTCAACTGGCCGGAGGGTTACTGTAGTTGTGCTTTCCCAAAGCCAAGCAATGTCTGTCTCGCATAAAAACCTGGTTTTGATCAGTTCAGTGGAAGGTAGTATAACTCATGATGACGCATTCACATCAGCAGTAAACTGATCTTTTCCCAAGTGTTTGTTTCCTTACACTTGCCAAGCTGGCTTCTATGTCCATTCTGCAGTTCTCATGGCCTTTTTAAATTGCTGCCTTCATAGTGCAATCAGTACAAACCATCTGCTTTTTGTTTTTAAATTGCTGAACGTGCGTAAGAAGAACAGTAGGTATTAGAACTGTGTACTATGGCAGCCTCTCTGTTGTGGGTATATTTTATTTACGGTTGTCATGTACGCGTAAAATAAAAAAAATAAAAACAGTCAAAATAAATAAATTCCTTGTAGAACAGTATACATGCAGTACAATATTTTATCAGCATTTTCGTAACATACTATGCTGTCTGTCTGGCATTGTAGGAAATATTGCAGTGATCAAGATGGTTGGCTGACGTGGTGTAATGACAACCAGGAAGTTGAGCATAACTGAAGTATTTCTGTGCTGAGCTGCCAGTTAAAACCTGTAAGACGAGTTGGGTTGAAGGACAGTAAGCTGAAATAATGCTCTTCCCCTGTTGTAACAGTAAATGTTTGAGTGCAATAATGTACATGTTTTATCCTTTTTAGCACAAAATGTGATTGTATATTTCTTGTAAATTGTGTGAATAACTTGTCTTAAAGGAATGCATTGTACCTAATTTATTTTCTTCTTTCAAGTTTTTTTTGGGATTATGACCACAGAAGTGTCTGAACTTCAAAATTTCACACTATGTTAAGTTTGTTCTTCATTTGTGTAACATGAATAACTTGTGTGTAGGTGTTGTTGCTTTTGTAACTTTTGTTTTTCAAATTGCTTTCTAGGAAAGGTGATTCTTTTCAAAATAAAATGTAATTAGGTAGAACATCAGATGTGTTAAATTTGTAGAACTGATCATGAATATAAATATTAGATATATGTGACATTAGATGTTGTCACTGCGGGTATTTTCATCATGGAGAATGCTAATTACTTGTTTTAGTTTGAATACAAATTCCTAAATCTGAGTTATATATAAATGTGCTCAGGCAATGCCAAGATGTGTTAAAACATTTAATGGACCCTGATGAACTCTGGAATACCTTGTATATTCACTTGGAGTAAATTTCCTAAACGCATTGACACATTTGCACCTTTTTAGGGCCATCATCTTTCTTTGCACAACTTTCAGTAACTCTAAGGTGTGATTATGTTGTCGGTGAGCAGCAGAGATTGGTCTGATCAGAACTCGACCGTCATATATTCTGTACATGTGGTTTCACATCATCTCTGTGTCTTGGTTCAATAAAACATCACGGCTGCTTAACAAATTCTGTTTGTGTTTTTACTTTGCTCCAAACGGAATCCACTGTTGACTCTATGCTGGTTTTTCTCAGTTTCATATTTCACTGTTGTTTCGATTTGTAGATTTCCTGTCTATCTTTGGTCATTTCAGAATGTCACATCACTTTCACCTGCAGTTTACATGAGAGTTTTGCATAAATGAGCCCAATTGGAGCCTGACCAATAAATTTTTAAAGCTGATACCAATATCACTATTTCAGTGTTAAAAGAATTATATGTTGGCCAGTAGTTGTTTTATCTAACATGAATACACACATAGACAAACATATTTTAGACAGACAATTTACAGTATATACTGATATTTACATGTCTGTGATAATCTAACAGCGGCTTATAAATGTATTATATACTTGACAAGTGTACTGTGAAACAGTCCGGAATCTGTTTTACTGTCAGCCCCCCTCTAAATACTTATTAGACATAAGAATAAGAAATAAAAAAAATTAAGAGAAGACAAAATAAGAAGTCTTTAGATAACAGAGCTTAAACAATGCATGAAATCACTGCAGACAAAGCCCATCTGCCCATTTATTAGGATGTTTCTTTGGTTATACAATAATAAAAAATGTATTGGACCAAAAAGTTAAAAAGCGTACTCAATGTACAAATATTACACAAGAACATTATATTGAAGTAGCATGTGTGTAGGAAAGGGCTTTGTGTAAACTGTAACAGCAACATGTCAATATTGTTTGTTCTTGTTGTCCTCAGGCAGTGTGCAGTTCAGAAGGTCTGGGAGGAGAAAAAGTTCATCCGTTTCCTTGATGTTCTCATAACTGTGGGGCGTCCATACATCTTGTTGAAGGTGACACTGACACCAAAGGTCATATCTCATTACGGTAGTTAGGTAATGAGATGAAAGGATCTAGTGAGGAAAACTCAACCAGTATTTTCCCTAATAGTTTTGGCTGATTTCGACATTTAGTACGATTCTTCAGGCAATTAAAAGTTAAATGAAAGGTTCAAGATGCACTGCAAATGTATGGTGCTTATGATATAAGAAATATATTTTTTTTTAATGAAATATATCCAAAAAACTTACTTTATATTAAAATTTAACAAAATAGATGCTTTTTGTACTCATTCACACATAACACTTTCTCAATTTTTTTAAATACACAAGTGAACTCAATTTACAAAACATTAGTGGAGAATAGACTCCATGAGTGAAAAATCCTATATTTAAAGTCAGATTAAACATTTTAAAGCCATTAAAACATAGAAGTTAATGTTAAAAGTCCTATTTTTCATAAACACGGCAATAAATGGCAGCAGACAGTTCCTTCACATCCACACATTTTCCCCTTCTTGCTTCTCAGAAATCCTTAAACTTTCCCTCTGTGCTGCACTGAAACGTTCACTCTCCCCTTTGGAACGAATAAACCCACCCAGAGACCAACAGACAAATCTACTGATGAATGAAACAAACAAGGAGGCCTGGTGAAGATGGCGGAGGGCTCCTTTTAGCTGACAGTTCACAGTGGGATGACGGAGTGCTCCCTGTTCTGCTCTATACATTAATTATCAAGCGGTGTCTGGAAGGCACTTTGTCAAAAAGATTGATGAGGAGCTGTCGGAGAGGGAACAAATCTGACTTGGCCGGGGTTAGAGGAAGGGCCTCTCATTCTCATGGGATGTAATGGTGGTAGCGGTGTGTGTGTGTGTGTG